CCCCCCGCGAATGGGGAATGTCTTTACGACGGGAGGAATTAGGCTACGGCCTCTACTGAATGCGAATCTCGCATTGTTATTGTATAATGAACAATCTTTATTAAATCGGCAAGTGAATTTTTATTCCTCGTAGGGATTTTTCATCTTTTTCCCTCGTTCTCAAACTCAAACTCAAAACGAAAGGTGAAAATTCCAATTTTCAAACGTTGATCGAGTTTTAAAATGAAATGAATATCGTCCCTTAACAATTTATAATAACACGATGAAGAAGAGCTGTATAACAGCAATAAGAGTCATGTGTAATAAGCAACGAGTAATAATGATGACGACGACAATAATTTCATATAATGAAACTAGTTTTATCTCCTTCTCTCTGTTGTAAATTTGAAACACCGAATTGAAAACTGAACATTTAAATTTAAACGCTGATTTGAATTGTAAAATGAATATCGTTTCTTAACAACCGAGTTTTATAATAATACGATGAACAAGAGTTGTATATATATCATAATAAGAGTTATGTATAATAAATAATAGTAATGATGATGATACAATAATTTCATATGATAAAACTAATTTTATCTCCTTCTCTCTGTTGTAAATTTGAAACACCGAATTGAAAACTGAATATCGTTTCTTAACAACCGAGTTTTATAATAATACGATGAACAAGAGTTGTATATATATCATAATAAGAGTTATGTATAATAAATAATAATAATGATGATAATACAATAATTTCATGTAATAACACTAATTAGTTATATTACCAATGACATTCGATATTCTTGCAAATATAATGTCTCCAACTAAAATGTTTAATCTTTCACTTCAATTTTATTAAATTAAAGATTATATACCTATTCGTGATATTAGTAAAGATATTACTAGTAGAAATGAAGCATGAAATAACAAATGAAACCTCGATGATACTCAATTCTCGCTATATCTTCACTTTATTATTAAATAAAACTTTCATTTGCCGTTTGAGTTCTGAATGTACTCTGCATTTTAAACCTAAATTTCTGAAACTAAATCTTTATTAATTACCTTCGTTGAACACCTATTCTACGTACGTGTAATTTTATTGTTATACACACTTATTATAATAACAATGCGAACGTTAGGTTTCATCGATTATTCTGTTCGTCTGTTGTAACTGTAGCCTTCTACGAAATCTCGAATACGATTCACGGAACAGACCTGTCCCCTTCGAACTTTACTTGCGACCACCATTTCCTGAACGGAACTACGTTACTCGTGTTACAGGTGAATGGAAAGGACGTGGCGAACAAAGAACAAACGGAGAACCTGTTCGCCGAAACGAAGAGCGCAGTGACCATTCTCGTCAGCCGGTGTCTTTATCAGGTAAGATCTTTTTCCACGTATATACTCGATTATGTACGGCGAGTACTATAAGAGTATCAAGGTACAAAGTGGAGTACATTACTACAACGAACGACTTCAAAAATAACTTTTAAAAAGGAAAACGAACGATCGTCCTTGCGAATGAAATCTGTACAATATTTTCAAATTATATAATTTATACAGTATAAAGAATTATCTGAATGGTAATTTATAATTTTTGAGGAAGAAATAGCAATTAATTTCCCACGCTAAAATGCATATTTTATCCTGCGACTGACATTAATTCGTTAGATTCGAACGTTGAAAAAAACGACGTCTCGCGACACGTCAACCTAATAACTCACTCTAGCGTACTCCATTCTATCTAACCG